CGGGAGCTCCAGGTTTGGGGGGCTCCTCTGCCCGCAGTGCCCACGGGAGCCTGGATGAGGGGACCGGAGGTCCCAAACCGTGACAGGCCACCTGCTCGCCTCTCCACGGCGCGTCGGGCTGAGGGTGCAGGTGCAAAGCTCGTGGCATTTCACAATGAGCAAATGTACCTGTGCGCCGGTGCGGTGACGATGGGGACCGCACCCCGCGAGCACTGCCCACGTGAAGTCTCCTGACGCCCTCTCCTCCACTGTGGGCTGGTGTCTGGGTTGAACCAGTATTCAGAGAACGACAGCGGATCCTTAGCTTTCTGTCAGGTATCTCCGAGGTGACAGAAACTGCCCTGTCCTCCTCTCCTGTCTCTTGCATCGTTTACCAAGCAAGGCGCCTCACTGAAATAAGATAGATGTCTTAGCATCTGTCTCATTTCGATTTGCGCACAGTTTTTGTGTTTTGGTCCAGTACTTAGCTTGGTGGCGACAAGTTCAGACGGCTCTGTGGTTTAATTTCTGCAAAACCTCTGCTGTCTGCGAAAGGGAAGAATAGTTTTTTCCAGTCAGCTGTTAGAAATGAACCTGACTCCACAGTGCAGGTCTGTGCAAATTTCCATTGACATATTGTTTTCATCAACATTTAAAAGTGTTTTCTGCCCTTCTGGAACATCGACCCATATGTAGCATTAAAATGAGGTTTTACCCTGTGTGTAAAACCGGAAAACCCGCATGGGAATTAAATTTTATCCCAGGTTTGAATATTCTGTTGAGGTTATGCTTAGACACAGGATTATACCGTGTTGCTAGCAAATCATAAATACCTTTCCATGTTAGTCCTCTATAACACAATGAATATGACTGACCTTTTGCTGATCTCTCAAAGAGACTGCATATCTACATACATCCACCTAGATGCAAAGGGACGATGTAAAGTTCATACATTACATACAATGGACACTTGAGAGCAAGAGGGCTTAATTTTCTCCAGGAATCCCCACTGAGAAAGATGACAAAATGAAGAAATATTGAGGGAATGGATTTATCTATTGTACTGGTTTCCAAACTGAATAAATTGACTTAAAGAGTAACCTTTAAGGTTTAGATTGGAATAGAAAATTTGAAAATATTGAGAGGTAGATGTCTCTAATTTTTTGAAAGACAGTTTTACTTTTGAACATCTCCTTATGACTTTATTGCTCTTCTGCTGACTTTGATAACTATAAGTTATGTTTTTTGGCCCTTGCTGACCGCTCCAGCTGGGTGTAGGGGCACCCCGGCCAAACCGGCCTTGGGCTTTCAAGGGATTCTGTAACTTGCTGTGCTGTTGCTCTTTGCTTAGTTAACTTTACCCCAGAGCTTTGTTCAGATGCCACTGTCTCATGACCTAGACTGGATGGGACCGGCGTGCTCTGTGCCCTCAGAGAGTTTGAGCCACAGTTTGTATTTCCAATTTTGATCTCTTTCTCCTTAGGGACTGGGTCTGTTTAGCTTAGCAACTTGACCTGTAATAATCACTCAGTATTTCAGTGAATGAAGAAATGTTTAGTCGTTGTTGAGTTTAAGCTTAATGTTTAAGGCCTACAATTGGAAAGCCCGACAATTTATTTGTGATTAGCTACTCTTGTTTATTTATTTTTTTAAACGCCTACAACACCTGGTCTTCCTAGGTGGTCTCCCATTTAAGTACTAACCAGGCCCGTCCCTGCTTCTGAGATCAGATGAGATTGGGCACATTCAGGGTGACATGGCCGTAGACTAGCTACTCTTATCTTAAGATTTAAAATATGGGGGCTGATGGTTTGGATTCCTTATTGTCAGTCTTCCTGGACTGAAATAACTTTACAGAACTGAATCTTATGCTTTTGCCGTTTTCATATTTTATGTATTTAAAATCAGATGCATAAGTATGGAATGCGTATGTTTACATAATTGAAGGTCCCACAAAAATTGATAAATTTAACCAAAGATAGTTTATACAAACTGGAAATTTCAAGCTTTTTGTTTAATGTGCACATTTTGTATGTTGGAACAAAGTGGACAATCTTTTTTGCTTTTAACTCCTATATTAATAATTATATTTACTCACACAGAGGAGTTATTTTCTCTCCCCAGTTTTCATTCATTTATTAGTTCAACAGATGATAAGCATATGCTGTGTGCCAGGTCACTAGGCCTGGTGAAAACACCTGTTGCTCTTTCTAGTAAGGACAGATTTGAACTGAGAAGCCACACTGCAGAGCCTGACTCGAAGGCCTTTTTTTTGGGGGTGGTGGGGGTGGTGGTGATGCTATCATTCCCTGCAGCCTTAGGTTTCAGCTCTTTCTGCTCTGGATGTGTTTTGTGTGTTAAAGCCTTGAAATTATTTGCTGTTCTTTTAGAGAGATTTCCGGTTAGGAGAGCAGAGATAAGTGGCTTATCCAATCTGCTAACCAATCTCGATGCTATAATGGCAGCGGAGATGGGAGAACAGCTCACCAGGCTTCTGTTAGTAACGCGCTTCTGAGCCTCGTCATCTTTTAATGTCATTCCAAGTTGTCATTTGGAATGACATGGTCTCAGCGGTAAGGAATGGGAGAGATAAGCCCAGATTCAGTTAATTGCTTGATAAGAAATATCTGGAGATGTTAAAGCTGTCAGTCCTAGAGGGGATTTTGCTGCTGTTTGAATAGTCACAGTTCAACAAGAAACGCGGGGTGAATGGGGTCTGTAGGAGGCTACCAGGAAACCTTAGCTAGATCTCACCTGGAATTACAGAGGAGGGAGTGTGCCGGATGTTGACCTAAGTGGCAGTTATGGCTTGAAGTGATATTGAATCCTCTTTTTTTGTTTCTTTCCCTCCATCCAGTCCATTGATGACTTGAACAAATGGGCCCTATTTCTTGTTTCTCCTTTTATACTTGAAGCAGAACACATAGCATTTGTGACGGAGAGCATTTGGGTACAAGGTGAGAATTTACAGAGACCGTCTTCTTCAGAAACAGTGAGTAGCAGGTTTTTTTTTTTTTTAAGAAAACGTTTCGGCTTCCATAATTCTTTCCAATGACTTCATATTGTCACACATCATCAGTAGGGTAAAACTAACCTGTCTCATGACGGTATAACATGTTTTTCACGTAGGTACCGTAAGGAAACTACATGTCTTAAAACTAAATTTGTTTTTTTTTTTTTTTTTATGAGTGCCTTTTCCTGGCTTTGTGACTCCCCTTTTTTTTTTTTGGATATTTTGGGTTAAATTAAAATATTAGTAAAACTTTCACCTGTTTCTTTTTAAATGCAGGTGCTAGAAATTTAAAACTAACCGTGTGACTTGTGTTTGTGGCACGTTATGTTTTAATTGGGCAGCACTGCTTGAGTCTGTCTCCTAGGTCATCTAGTCCGGGGTCCCCAAACCCCGGGCCACGGACCAGTACTGGTCCATGGTGCCAAAAAGGTTGGGGACCACTGATCTAGTCCATCCCTAATATTAAACAAAAACCTTTAAGGCTGAAAGTTGTCCTAAAAGAAACGGTTTATTGAGCCACATGCTAATCAGAAAAGGACGAGTCCTGGGATATACGGTCTAAACCAGCAGCAGCCGGGGTAGATGGAGAAGATGAAGTGTCCCATGCTCTAGAGCTGACAGGCTCTTATATCCAGTGGGTTTGGGGGAAAAGATGTAAGTTGTTTTGAAAGAATTTACAGTGGCTGTAGATAAGGAAAGAGGGTGGGAAAAGGTGAGGGGGGCAGTTCTGGGGAAGGTGTGTCCCACTTCTGGACTGGTTGTGGGCAACAGTCTGAAAAGTTTGGCATAAGCAGGATGTGGTGGCATCTGGTGGTTGCCTTTTTTTTTTTTTTTTTTAGATAGCTGCCTGGAAGTTGATTTAAAGTTTTAACATACATTCAGGAATGTGATCAGTCTTACTGGTTTCAGCTGCAGCTCTGTTAACTGATTAACCCCTTACCTCTCCCTTCCACCCTCTGGCCTGTGGTAATTTAAATCAGGACATCTTAGAATTTTTGTTTTGTCACCTACAACGTTTTGCTTCCAAAATCAGCCTGAATGGTTGACTTTATATTGCCATGTACTTCCTAGACGCCTCACTCCAAGTGTTCTGAAAAGACTTCAAACCCCAAAACCGTGTCCAAAACGAGTTTATATTTCTCTGCTCGAAAAAAAGAACATCTCAGATGACACCCCAAATCTCAAAATCTCTCGCGTCCTCCTGCCGCCTCCCTGCGGTTAAGGTTAAGTTCGTCTAACACCACTCCTCTAACACCACTCCCGGGGGAATCTCATGATCCATCTTCCGTGTCCGTCCCTCCGCATTTCATTCTCACCTTCATTATCTTTTCGTCTGAATCTGTCATCTTATTCTAAGGTATCGTTCTGTCCTGTGTCCCTCCTGAGGATTTTCTTCTTGATGGCCAGAGTTATCCTTGTAGGAGCAAATCCAGTTGGACACGCTCTTGCTTAAGCTTTGGTGGATGCCTTCCCATCGGATGCAGTCAGGCCTTAGGCTCGTGGAAGTCTGACTCTAACCTGCTCTGTAGGCCTCTTCCCTCACCTCACGGTGGTCCCTCCCAGCCACGTGGACGATTTAGTAGGGGTTTTGCTGGTAAGAGCCAGATTTGCTGTATTTCCATTTCACAGACAAGTCTTTAAGACATTGTTTTGGGATGAGAGAAAAGGAAGACAGGGCTAGGACTAGAAATAATTGACTAATTCAAGGGAGGCCAAAATGAGAGCTGTGAGATAGGTGCCGGAACTTAAAGAAGAGCAAGGAGCTGTTTGGAGCTCAGAAGGGGGCGTAGGGTGTGGCAGGTGGCCCTGGAGCAGTCCTGGGTGCTGTGACACTACATTCTCTCCTACCGGTTTGTGTTTTATTTAGCCTCATATATACTTAAGATAATACCATTTATTAAGCCCCCGTGAGGCATTTTCCATGTGTTACCCATTATGCTTAAAACTCTGCAAGATATTATTTTAAAAATTAGAAAACCGAAATTATAAGGTTAAACATTTCTAAACCTACCAGCTGCTAAGTGGTAGGCAAGATTTTAGCCAATGTCCGTACCCTTTTTAGTAGACAGAGATGTGAATGAAGGGTTTTAAACAGATGGGGCACTGAGAATCCATGATCATAACTCATGACGTTTAATTTGAATCGTGAAATTACTGATGATCTGCTTTTTTTTTTTTTTTTTTTAACCCATGAAGAGTCCATTTCTTTGGGCTTTTAAATTTAGCTTACCATTTCTGTAAGTTTAGCAAAAATCTGTGCTCACTGTTAAGGGAATTTTTGAATAATATTTATCCTGTTCACAAACTCAGATATCTTAAAACATTTTACTTTTGGACTCCAGGAACGCAGACTTGGATTAATTACAGTCCTGCATCAAAATGCACTCTCATCATTGGTCCATGCACGGCCCTCGTTCGCTCATGAATTTGAAACTGTATGAGAAATACCTATGAACTCACCACTCAGTATGGAAACTAGAATATGTACCTGTGTGGCCCCCACGGAGGCCCTCCAGCTGTTTGTTCCGTGGCGTCTGCCTCCACCTTCTCTCTCCCATCTTCCTGCCTCTCTTCCCACAATTTCTTTTCAGAAATTTAAGTTCTCGGGATGAACAAACCCTTTTCTAAACACGTACACAATTCTTATAAATTACTTAACTTATAGTAAGCTTGACATTTTCTTATATGGTCTAATATTCTATACACACACACACACATATATTTATACACATACATACATGTGTGTGTATATATATGTAAATAAAGTTTTCAACTTAAAACCAAGGCCAAAATTTCTAATATTGCAATTACATAAAATATCAAATATGCACAGATTCCTTCTTACCACAAAAACATGACTGCTGTGCTCTTAATTTCCTAAGTCGTTGTGACTTAATAATACATCTTTATGGGATTAAAGACATCTTAAGGAACATAGTTACTGTATTATGTAAGGAACAGGCTAAGCTGCTATAACAAGCCCGGAACTACAGTGACTCAAACAAGCTAGAATTTGAATTCTCTCGGGGAGGTGGTTCTGCTCTGTAAGGCCATCCGGGGACCCAGTTCCTTCTCTCTCGTTGCTGTATCATCTCCCCTCTGCCTTCGTAGGTGGTGGTTCTCTCTCCTGGTAGAGGTTGGCTCCTGCTGCCCCTGCCACAACCACTGCAGTCAACCTCGTTCCCATTCCAGCCCTCAGAATGGGAGAGCAGCAGAGGTAGGCGACAACCAGCTTCCTCTTTAAAATTAAGATCCAGAAGTTTCAAATGTCACTTCTGCTCCCATCACTTCAGCTGCAGAGGAGACTCACAAAAGCATTCTGTAGCTGGACAGCCATGGATTCAGAGAAAACCTGGAGTTCTGTTAATACAAGAGAGAAAGACTAGCTAGTGAGAGATAATTAGCATCTACCGCCGTTATCCCATTAAATTTACTTTCTAAGAAAGATTTACTTAATTTTCTGAGGGTCAAAAGATGCCTACCACCAAGGGTACTGCCCAGGTAACTCATTTTGTTTTTGATCGGTGAGTTTGATGGGTTTTGCAGCCAGGAGCTGGAGATAATCTCGAGCTATTTTTTCTGACGACCCTGGCCGTTACACTGAGCTCCGTTTTATAAGTTGGGCTTCGGAACCTCAAAAGGAGTCGATCTCAGCTCACTGTTTTCTCACGAAGTCTGCAGTTCCCATTCAGATTGGTTGCTTGATGGGATTTTGCATTTACGGGGGCTCTTATGGATCTTTGTCTAGGAGGAATACTCTCTTTCGTTCCGTCCTTTTTATGTGTTCAAGCCACGTTCCGTTTATTTCATCTATCTTTAGCGTGTCTTACAAGTTACTGGCTTTATCTTAAAAGTTTCATCCATGCAGTTTTTCTTGTTTCCTATGTATCAGAATTGAGTATTCTTTAATAGTACAGAAATATACATGATACACAGGTCGAGAAAGATTCACAAACACCAAAAGGAATTAGGACTTTATCCTAGAGACAGTAGGTGAGAACTTTCTTTTAAAAGCAGAACGATCAGATTTGTGCTTTAGAAAGATTGCAATTCAGGCAGGTTGGAGCGTGATTTGTGCAAGCAAACCTTGATGAGATTGTACTCCACGTGGGAGGAGAGAATGGCCTTGCAGAGTACTGGTAGCAGGAAGGGTGAGATGGAGGCAGAAGCAGGGGCTTTTCAGGAGATGATGAGGGGGTTTGGGGTGGATGGGAAATCATTCGGGGAGATGAAGAATGCATTAGGAGGAGCTCGTGCAGGGGCCGCTATAAGGAATGCAGCTTTGCTGAAATAACAGATGACCTTAAAATCTTGGTGGCTTCCAACAGCAAGTCTTTGCTTCTCGTTCACATTGCACAATCGGGGGCCCAGGCTGAAGGAGCATGTCCACCTCGGGACATGCCATTCTCGTGCCTTTCCCCCAAATCTAGGCTGACCTTTGTGATTTGTTTGTCCAGTAGGCAGTGGTGGGGTGATATCCTGGAACTTGCAGACTAGTTCATAAGAAATCTTGCAGCTTCTGCCTGGATCCTCAGAACCCAGCGCCCTTGCTCCGAGGAAGCTCCAGCTTCCCTGAGACGGGAGGGACACAGGAGGAAGGACCTCGGCCCTCAGGGGACGGTCCTAGCTGAGTTCCCAGCTCCAATGTGCCAGCTGTGAGCGGGAGCCCCTTTAGACCATCCAATTGAGCCCGACTAGCTGGTGCCATGTGGCATAGCGCTAAGCTGTCTTAGTCAAGCCTTGCCCAAACTTAGATCTGTGAGTCAAATAAATGCTTAGTTTAAGCCACTAAATTTTGGGGTGGTTTGTTACTCAGCGATGGATAACCAGGACACTTGGGATGTCAGCGAAAACCTCTGGTCTTCCTCAGCTTAGCAGCATCGGTGAGTGGGGAATAAAGTGGGCAGTGACCAATTGTGGGTGATGATCTAGTACAGACGCTGGGCTTCAGGTGCTTATGGGCATCGAAAGAACACAAA